CCCACCAACTCTAATTCAACTACCTATATGGACCAAAGTGCGGCCAAATCTCCCGCGTCATCAATCGGTGAATGTTTCGGCTTTTCGGTTTCCCCCCAACGCAACAGTACATTTCCTTGAGATGATACTGCTCCGATTGCATAATTACTTGCGTCTATAGTAAGGGTAAAAGGTTTGGTGAAATCCGGATATTGTAAAATTGGAGAGTTTGAGGAGACTTTTACAATGATTAAAAGAGTTTTTGAAATCTTTTTTCTTTAAGCATGTTGTTAAAGGCTTCGTTATTTTGGCAAAATCTTTTATAAATCGTCTGTAATATCCTAGAAGTCCTAAGAAAGATTTAATTTCCTTTTGTGTCTTTGGAATAGGGAAGTTTTTGATTTCTACGATCTTATCTGGGTTTGGTTTTACTCCTTCAGTTGTAACTACGTGTCCTAAGTATTGTACTTCTTTTTTCAAAAATTCGGATTTATCCATTTGTATCTTGAAATTTGATTCTCGGAGTCGATCAAATACTTGCTTTAGGCGATCATTATGTTCTTGTAATGATGTTCCGAAAATGACGATGTCATCAAGGTATACAAGACAAATTTCGTTTTGGAGTCCTCGTAGAATATTATTCATGACGCGATGGAACGTGGATGATGCGTTCTTCAAACCGAAAGGCATTCTTTTGAACTCGTAATGTCCGTTTTCTGTAGAAAATGCCGTCTTTTGTTTGTCTTCTGGATGCATCTCTATTTGATGGAATCCACTAGCTAAGTCTAGCGTTGTAAAGTAGTGGCTTCTTCCAAGTTTGTCCAGAATATCTGATATATTTGGCCACGGATATTTATCATCAATTGTTCTTTCGTTGAGCTTTCGATAATCAATTACCATTCTCCATTTATTTTTGCCTGATGCGTCTAACTTCTTAGGTTCAATCCAAATTGGGCTGGACCAAGGTGATATTGAATCTTTAATAATCCCTTGTTCAAGCATTTTAGAGATTTGCTGTTTAACTTCTGTTTTATGTCTTTCTGGATAACGGTAACTTTTGGTAAAAATTGGGCTTTCTTCAGTTAAATTTATTTTGTGTCGGATTTTGTTGGTAAATGTTAAAGGGGTGTTCTCACAATAAAAGATGTCTCGATATTTCATACAAAGATTTCTAATAGAGGATTTTTCTTCTGAGTTGCAGTGTTCAAGACGAAGATTTGGAAAATTGGCTTTTAAAAGATTATCCTGTCTTTTGCTTAGTTCAACTGAATTACATTCATGATTAGCCTGGATATTATGATTATCATAGAAGTTAATTTTATTAATATTGATCGATTCAATATCAAAAGGTTCGTAAAATACTAGTTTTACCGGGTTTTCTCCTGAATTTACAATGGTTGTGATTGCAAAGTTATTTGAAAT